GCAACGATTGGTAGAGAGAGACTTGAATGGAATATGGAATGGAAGTCAGTCGTGTTCAGCGATGAGTCCAGATTCTGATTGGGCACGCATGATGGTTGCGCAAGAGTAAGGAGGAGACGTGGTGAAAGACGGAACGTTCAATATTTCATCGAACGGCATATTCATCACACTGTGGATGTTATAGTATGGGGTGTCATTGCTTACGGCAGCAGGTCACGATTAGCGTTCATTCGAGGTAACATGACTGCCCAGGGCTATATCCACAAAGTTTTACAACCGGATCGTCTTCCCTTTTTGGAAACATTGCAAGATCAACTTTTTCAGCAGGACAATGCACGACCTCATGTCGCACATGTTAGCATAGACTTTTTAGAAGCATCTGGAGTGAACTGCTTCAGTGGCCTGATCGATCTTCAGACCTTTTCCCCATCGAACACATGTATGGGACATGATGGGAAGAAGGTTGTAAAATTCACCGCACCTTCCACAAACATTGGAGGCTCTACGAAACCAAATTGAGATGGCCTGGGATACTATACACCAAGAATGCATCAATCTCCTAATCTGATCAATGCCGCGACGACTTAACGAATGTATAGCGAAAGAGGAACTTCAACACATTATTAACATTAAAGTGGGATATCTCAGCTGTTTTGCGAAATTTCGAGTTAAAATTTTGATAGATATAACTTTTTATTGATCAGTATATCTAAAACTTGTAAAAGTATGCTCAAAATTGCAGCACTCCTAGTCGGTGTTGCATTTTCTATGTCATTTAGTATGTTTAATATGAAAAGTTGTTTTTACATTGAATTATATTTGGACGGTACTTTTCAAAGCACAACCATTTAATGCGCATCCAAGATACTTTTGCCACCTTACAGTAGATACTACGTGATGTTACTAATAATACATTCATATGTGGTAACACATTTGACAGCATCTTATGGCTATAGGTTACTTAATACGAATGTGTAAAGTACATTTATAATCCTTGCGACAGAAATCTGTACTCAAAAGCGAGTTATACAGGGTGGTCCATAAGTCCTTTGAAATTTCAAATTTGAATAAAATTTAACGGGTGAGCGTGAGCGGCGCGGGCGAGGTTGGGGCAGTATCTTCAGTGTCTGGGAATTCAGTCGCCATGGAGTGTTTCACTGGAGCGGATCGTGCTTTTTGTGTGCGCGCGTTTTATCAAAATAATGATTCGGCAACCATTGCGCGGCGTAAATATCGAGAATACCACAATTTACACAATTTTACAAAGTGTCCAACAGCTCAAACGATTAAGAACTGGGTTGCTAAGTTCGAAGAGACTGGTTCGACGTTAGATAAACAGCGGTGGGGTCGACCAAGGACAACTCGTATTGAAGAAAACATCAACATTGTGGCACAGTCTGTTCGTCAAAATCCTACCCAGTCTACTCGTAAGCGTTCCAGTGCACTAAACGAACCCAGAACATCTTTACAGCGGATTTTAAGGAAAGATTTACGTCTGCACGCTTACAAAATTCAGTTAGTGCAGGAATTAAAAGATAATGACGCTATTCAGAGACTAAACTTTGCGAATGAAATGTTGAATCGATTTTCTTCGCTCAATAATGTGTTGTTCTCGGACGAGGCTCACTTCCATTTAAACGGGCATGTAAATAAACAAAATTGCCGTTATTGGAGCCCCTAAAATCCAAGGCGAAAGCATCGGAAGCCCTTACACAGCCCTAAAGTTACAGTTTGGGCTGCTATGTCAGCGCATGGCATCGTAGGCCCTTATTTTTTTGAGGACGACACAGGTCGCGCATTAACTGTTACTTTGGAGCGGTATGTAGCAATGATAGAAGAGTTTTTGACACCAGCGTTGCAGAATTTTCCAGGCTATAATACGCAGACCTGGTTTCAACAGGACGGAGCAACTGCCCACACCTCCAACACTTCTATGCCCGTCGTCTGTCAACTTTTTCCCAGCAAAGTAATTTCTCGAAGAGGAGACATTTCCTGGCCACCACGTAGTCCAGATTTGACCCCAATGGACTTCTTTTTATGGGGCTACCTCAAGAGTAAAGTGTACGACACCACTCCGCGATCAGTTGATGTCCTGAAAGAAAATATCCGAAGAGAAATGGCAAGCATTACAGTGTTGACTTGCCGCGCAGTCATCGACAATTTTAGACGTCGTTTATATGAGTGCCGTGATCGTAATGGATTGCATTTAGACGATGTGATTTTTAAAACATAATTCCCATTCAATAAAGATGATAACAAAATATAATAATTCTTCATAATGTAACTAGTTTGGTTTTATTCCTTTTTTTCCAGCTCAAAGGACTTATGGACCACCCTGTACCTACTGGCGAGTTGCACCATAGGTATCATCATTTCGATTACCATTCTTGTGCATATAACGCTGCATCTCCTGAGAAATATGTTGTTCATTTTCAAAAAAGAAAGAGTCACCCACAACATTTCTGTACTACATCATCGTATGTGTCTTGATTTAGCGGCTGGACAATAGAGTCCTACCCACAGATGTATCTGCCCCTATAAAGCGTGTACCAATGTGTATTCTATGATAGCAAGATTGCCAACAATTTCATAGCATTGCATGTAACAGTAATAAATTGGAGCTAGACATGTTACGAATGCATTTTGCAACTAGATAATTTTATGTACATCAATCATCTCGGCCATGAACTCATTTAAACGGAACTTTGTTCAAAAAATCGCTGAAACTGTTGTACAAGATTCTATATTACTCGATACTGACGACAAATACGTGAAGGAATAACTGCCATGTCATGTAGTGGTCACTCATTATTCCGATCCAAGTACTCAAGTGAGTTCCATCACATTAGCACATAATCCGAGAGATAAATAAGTAAACAACTTTCTGGGCTCCGTTTCAATCACTTCTGTCCTTAGTTACTAAGGGAATTTACAACATATTTAACAGGGTCGAGTTTAGTAACTTGACATAAGGATCAAGTAAGGTTTCTCTAGTTTTAGGAGTCAGACGCACAAATTTGAATGATACATACGGTATGAGTTAAAAAACATCCAATATCCTACTGCGATTGGACAGTGTATGTCTTGAATGACTAAGCTCTTCGGTACATTTATTCCTTGTCACATAACTATTACAGTATTTATTGACATCTCAATATGAAAGAATGATGGACAGGATCAGATTTCAGGTTATAGAACTTGTAGAAGTAAACAAGTTGCTAATTCCTATTACACAAATCTAAGTCAGGTACTAGTTTAAGTTGAAGTAAAACATTTTAATTTGTTAAAACAAATTTTATTATAGTAACGAAATATGACTACAGGGTGTTTCAGAACTATGGGATCAAACTTGTAGGGGTTATTCAGTGAAACAGTAGAAAACATTTGACTATAGGGACCCATTTCCGGCGCTTGTGTGTTATCTTTAAAAACAATAAAGGGATTATTTTTTGTAGCTGCATTCCATATCGCCTTAGTCGTTTGCAAGAATTTAACAAAAATTAACTGATGCTAATGGAAAACTTTACCAATCAAGAATTAGCGGATATACATTTGGCATCCGGAGCAGCAAGCTGCAATACACGAGCAGCAGCGCGGTTGTACCAAGAACGTCATCCCGAACGACAGCATCCGAGATACAAAAAGTTTATTGCTGTTCATCGGCGGCTCTCCGAGACCGGCATGCTTAAAACCAACATGCATGATACTTGTGTTGCTCGAACCGTAAGAACGGTCGAATTTGAAGAAGACGACGAACAATTCAAGTAGCACACGTCACATTGCTGAGGATATGAATACGAGTAACGCTTCCGTCTGGCGGGTGCTACGCTACACGAGCAACAAATTTATCCTTACCACTTCCAGAAAGTTCAAGGATTCACTGCAGCCGATTATCATCCTAGAGTTCAATTTTCAAATTTTTTACGCTATGTTTTATGGACCGATGAAGACTCTTTCACAAGAGACGGTATTTTTAATAGTAGGAATAGCCACATTTGCGACAAATAAAATCCCCATGTAATTTTTTCTAGAAAACATCAACAACGTTGGTCTGTCAACGTATGGGTAGGCATTGTTGATGATTATTTGATTGAGCCATACCTTCTACCGGAACGGTTAACAGGACCTATTTACCGGAATTTCTTGGTGGAAGTTCTTCCAGAACTTCTTGAAAATGTTCCACTGAACGTTCGACAGCAAATGTGGTTTCAGCATGATGGAGCGCCGGCTCACTTTGCTGTACAAGTACGCGAGTATCTGGCTCAGCGGTTTGGGCACCGTTGGATTGCCAGAGGTGGAGCAGTTTCTTGGCCTACTAGGTCACCCGATTTAACATCGACAGATTTTTTTCTGTGAGGTCATGTAAAGTCTTTGGTTTACGAAACTCCAACTAGATGAATTTCAGCAGCATTTGAAATCATTCAAAACGAGTATAAAATGTTTAGGCAAGTCCGTCGAAATCATGTGCGACGTTTAAATCGGTGTTCTCAGGTTGGGGGAAGACATTTTGAACAATTGTTGTGATGATATCATGTACAAAAGGCAAAAATTAAATGCATTAAATCCTATTTAGGCAATTCATCGTCTTTCTAAATTTTAACGCGTCTTAGGGCAGTAGTGCCGTAGTGACACTTTTACGGATATGGGTCCCTATACTCAAATGTTTTCTACTGTTACACTGAATAACCCCTAGAAGTATGATACATTAGTTCTGGAACACCCTGTATATCATATCTGTAACAAACTTTATCACAACTTCCTAACTTCCACATAATTTTGAGTTCACTGAGTGGTCCAAAATGTTACGCCAATGCTTCAACCAAAAGCTTACTATGATTATAAATTCCACGCTCGTACTGCCCCAGATAGATACTTTGGATATAAACTGATAATATGTCTAACCAGTATCAAAACAATTTTTACAGAGGTGTGAATTTTTCTCACTAACAAATACAGATGCAATGTAATTAAATTGTAATGTCCTTTTTGGAATTAGTAGAATGTTAACGTGAAAACAAGGACAGGCGATATTAGTTTGGCACGGTTAGGATTGCAAAATCGTTTTGTTAAATTCACCTCACGTTTGTTTGATGAAACGAACAATGAACAATCATGTGTTGGTGTCACCTCTAGTATAACAACCGTAAGGAGAAAATTATAGATTTTACTTGTGATAACTATGTGCAGGTACGTTTCCGTTTATTTATTTTTTTCTCAATTTTCTCCTCCGCAAATCCGGTGAATGAGGCAATCTTAATATTTACAACAGGTTTCGCTGACAATTTTTTTAAAGCTGAGAACATCTTTTTTACCCTTATGGCTTTCGCTATCTCTCAGAATCCACATAACTTACTTAAAACTTATTTACTACTTACTAACACAATTTTGGGAGCCGCTCGAGGGCTTATTCTGTACATCCAGTCTGTACATTTTTCTGTTTTAAGCATTGAGATCGATACTACTTCACTATTGTGCAGCGAGTATTTGACAGGTCCATAAAGATATATCCATAAAGACATGTCAACTACTGACACAAGTGGCTTCCCAGCAGTAATTTAGGTAACTTAGGTGTCCAACAATTTTCAGAAAAACCTCATTTTAACTTCATATTATCAGATTGTAGAAATACCGGTGTTATTATGCTCTACAAACAATATTTTCCAAATAATCCCCTTTGCTGTTTATATAGGTGGCTATTTTTGATTGAAATTTACAGTAACCGTTTGGACTAGTTACGGCTCACGTTCTCTAATATTTTGCCTCAACTCATTAATGCTCGACGGAATACTTGAAAAGACGTTATTCCTAGGAAATTACCTCAAAAAATGTCCAGGGGATTACACTATTTGTATAATCTCGCAAACCGCCGTATATCTCCATTGCTAGAAACCACGCGAAAAATTTATTTGGCACTCATAATAATATAATTTTATTGTCAGTTCCAGTCATAGTATAAAAGCTGACAAAAGTAGGATTCGGTTCTTAGCGCCCAAATACTTTTCCGAACTTCCATAGTACTAGAAAGGAAGAATTTATATGAACACGAATAAAGTTATAAATACCGTAAATACTTAATTAACATTTTCTTATACATAGACACTTTGTTAAACCGATTTGTGAACTGCCTCAGGTAGTAGTAATACGAGTAGAAAAATAAATAGAGAGCCCGTCGCCATGGCTGCACAAGAGAGCCAGATTGGCCCGTCAGTGCAAAAGAAGAGAAGAACCATCGGCAAGTCAGAAATTCCTCCTCTGGATAGCATGGACCATGAATAATATCGGGGAGGCAGCACCCTAAACCTATGAGCAGTGCTAGATGCTAGATCTTACCTGGACCTTGTTCAGAGTGAGGAAGTTATGTGGAGAAAAGTACTTTTTCCCAGCGCCTGCCGAGATTAACGAGATGTGTTCGTGCAGGATCAGCTCTTCGGTGATCTAGACTACGACAAACCGAAATGCATGGCTCCTTGGTAGAACTCAGCCATCCATCGAAATCCGATGCAGCGATAGCTTTCAGATCTCTCCTTAGAGAGGAAGTCGTTGCTGGTCATCTTCTCTCCAGCTCTCCCGCTGGTATTTAATGGAAACTGTGTCGGAGACAAGACCGATACCTGGCGAACACCAGCATTGGCATTGTGGGATAAAGAGGAGAACCCGTCGGTTACGATGGATCTTGCTGACAGAGTGGAGTGGAAGTAAGCCACTAATCTGCAAAGCTAGTCTAGGAGGCCATAGTATGGAAGTTTGCATAAGAGGGCAGCATGCCACAGCTGATCGAACGTTTTCGTGATATCAAGGGAAACGGCATGGTCCTCACCATAAGTCTGGATGAGTTTACTCCATAGTTGCGTGACGTAAGCTGTACTACAGTTTTCTGGGAAAGTATCGGATTCGTAAGATATCTAGAAAATTACGAAAAAAACTGTATCAGGCTCTTTTCAAGCTCTTTCACCTTATCCCTTGAGTCGGTTGGAACTGTTCCGGCCTGGCACGTAAGCGGTGAAATGCTACTCCCTGAGAAGTTTTTCAATCTCATCTGCCAACGTTCAGAAAGACCGCCTGCCACTGTGCTGCGTCATTACGTGCCTAACGTTTGCTTCGTGTTGGTCTTTGGCGTTGCGAACCGCTTCGTTATAGTTGTTTCGGGATTAGGCATGAACCTGTCTGTTCTCTACACTGGAGCTTTCTGTGAAGGTTCTATGTGCATGCACGATTTGTTGAACCAGCCTATAAAATTGGATTTATAAAGAAAATTCATTCCAGATACAATGGTTTAATATTCTAGAAAAATATCATTGAAACATATTCTAAGCCTCTCTTCTGCAGCTAGCAAATCCACTCATCTGAAAAAAAAAACTTACTAATCATGAATTATTATTGAATACATAAGCTTCTTTCCAGTGGTCTTTTGTTTGAGAGAGATGTTCTCTCGAACTACTCAACTGGGTCAATGAAAAGCAGCTCTATAATGCACCTAAAAGGACCCCATATTTCCTTCCTATGAGAGTTCGAGATTTGAATAATTTTTAAGAAAATTTCTTATGTTATTTTAGATATGTTTATGGAAAATGACCTTGGGCACAACTTGATCCTTAGTAAGTGGGCTAATTCAGCCATAACTATTTTGTGATTTTATACCAAAATTCATAGTATTTTCGACTGTTAAAATTTTGGGAAGTCGCTGTTTAACTTAAGAGTTTGAAAACAGTTATAGCTGAGATATTAAAAAAACATTTATGACATATCTCGATCAAGTTGTGATTAGGTATGACTTTTCATTGGGATGTTATGAATATAACTTTCGTATCTATGTTCAGAGAAATCCACCAATATATAAATACCTTTATTATCAACTGGCGCAATAATGTTCACTAGTCAGATAAATTAATATATGTAATTATCGCAAAACATCATATCATAGTGAAACTCACAGGCAAAATGGATGCCGGCAAACCGGTCGACTCAGATCGGCTTGCCATTATGCCATTGGTCGCTCGGGGTAATACGCACATGCGCCGTAGCCAAAAATATTTAATGAATATTTTCTAAATAATTGAGTTTTAATATTTACCATTGATTGAAAAGTAAATATTTGATATTAATATTATAAAAGAAATATTGTATTTAAAATATTTAAAAGATATTTAATAAATATTTAATCAAAATATTATATTCCTAATATTTGTTTAATATAACAAATATTTAAGCATGATAATATCATTAGACATTGAATGAATATTTAATGAATATTTCGTGCTATTGGGGTAACGATATATAAACTTCTACTAGCATTCCGCCTGTATTCGCACACATAGATACCAGCCGCATCATGTCATTGAGTCACACATCCGGTAGTAAGATGAAGATGTAAGTGATGTTCATCCTACTCGGATTAGTTTTTATGTATTTGTGCGAAAAAGTGCCGATCAGAAAAGCCTAAAAAGCCCCTCCGATGGAGGATGGGTCTGTACCCTATTTCACGAGTATCCATCACGTTTTGACGACTACCGAGGCGAACAGCTGATCAGTAAGATACACTTTTGTGTTAGTCTGCAAAGTTGGCAATAAAGAATCGTGTGTAAATCTAGTAAAACTTGTCAGTAGCGTTTTATTTTTGTATGCAAATGGACTTTTTTAAATAAAAGAGCTTTTAGCAAGTACAAAATGAATCTGTAGCGTAGGAAAGATCAAAACAAATTATATAAATATACGTATACCAAACACTCACATCTCCCCTTCCTACCTCCTACAACCCGCTGCCTCAAATTTCAATCCTCCGCGAAAAAATTTCTGAAAATAATCAGAAGCCTCCGAAACCTTAAATACGAGGTTATAGTGTTCTTGACGATCTTTTTTCGCCTGTAGTTCCGCCCTCACTCGATGGATTTTCAAAAACTGCAAAGGTCTATCTTTTTGCGTAGTTGTAATCTTGCGAAGTTATCCAAAAGTCACCTTGTGCTGTTTGTTAGTAAGCATATTAATCTTGTCAGAAAATTTGATCAAAATCAGAGCAGTACTTTCTAAGTTATAGATGGCCCACGGATTAGCGGACAGACCGAAATGAGTAATAGGGCTTTTTGTTAAGTGCATGCCATATAACGTTCAAAAAATATCTCGTCTTCTATTTTTCTAGGAAAACTTCTAGCAAAAGTATATCTGGATTAAAATAAAATCGTCGAACCACAATCCATTGGAAATTACGATAACCACAACCGCACTTCACGGTAGGCTTTTAAAAATACTCTGAATCCGATTGAATAACACAGCAGCATCGTATGAAAAATATTTCTTATATGATTATACTTAGTAATACTAATAGCATTTTTTAATCGCAGATATCTGTATGACAGGTTATCTTATTACGAAGGCAAGCACGTACTGTTTTAAAGTATAGGTCTGCTGCATGTAAAGCAGCACAGTATTTTTTGCTCCCGTCATAAACCGAATACAGCAATTCTGAAGTTTTTGTAGCCTTGTCTGATCATACTTCCGGACAAATGTTCTCTCCCATGCCCGATTTCTACCAAACATCATTATTGAAGATTTTGATGGATTCAGAGTCAGACAGTATTTTTCAGATAACGATGCCAAAGTATTAACATCCTGAATGAGTTTACAAGCTGCACCAATACGATGTTCGTTAAAGGTTAAGTAACCCAACAGATGGAAATCTGGAATCACGCTTTGATGGAGAGTTACATGTTATGGTATGGCATAGTAGCATGGAGAGGAGCTTCGAAAACTCACATCCTTCCTCTTGAAATATTCCAAAAAAGAATGTTAAAATTAACATATTCTCAAGAGCCAAGATTTCCCTCTGAACGTTTATACAGTGAAACAAACACCATCTCATGCCTTTTTTTCCAAAAGTCTGTTGGACAGCGTTCATATGCATATATTGCTCTCAAGCTGTACAATAATACGCTTCCTTGGAATGTACGAGATATCAACAACTTGGCGCCATTTAAAAAGAATTAAAGCAATTCATTTTGGACCAACGACCGCGAATATTCGAGAATTTAATTAATTAGTGACCAGGTGTAGTGTAATTAGGTGAATGTGCTTGTATTGTAGCAACTGCAGTATTATGTGCAAAGTGTTTTTACATTTGTGATGCCCTTTGTAATTGTAATTATAAGTGTTTTTATTATAGTTAGCGAATTTTAGCTTTAACTGCGCCTTTTTTA